GAATTCGAAACTCGCGAACGAGCGAGTTTTACTTGCGGCTTGTTGTTTTTGGTGATTTCCGCCGGCACGAGCTCGCGTTACGTATCGATCTAACTTTCGCGTAGAGCGTGCCGCTGCTCCGGAGATACTTTGATTAAAATTTTCGAAGAGCTACAGCTGCGCGAGTCGCGCCAGCTATTTTTTTTAATGATCGGTAAGGTAATCGAGAATGAGGTAAATGGTAATATCTATTTTGTGGTAAACGTCGTTTGATAAAGTCAACTAATTTGAAGGATTGATATTATTTTGCTCGTGTTACTGTCTACTCATACCTTTCACATGCTAGTTACTGAAATTACAAAACTCGTGGACTTCTCATGGAAATTTTGTAGATTTCTTTTTGAATTTCTTCGATACGTGTTTCATTATTAAGCTACGCGTGAGAAAACTAACGACGCAAAGAGACAGACGTAACGTACAGAAATGTTGAAAATGTTCACGATATTCAACAGATGAAACAAATTTTATTCCCTCGGGTACAATCGGCAGTCTATTTATTATACAACGATCACTAAGCATTAGAGAAAGCTTAGAAATCAATTTTTATAAGACGAATTTACGCAACGAATGATTATCATTAATGTCAAATATGAAAGTATATACATATATACATACTACGTGTACAAGTATAAAACATCATATAGACAGTTTTAAACTTCCTTTCGTTCACCGCTGATACTTTCATCTCCGCGAGAATATTTTTCGAGCGAAAAGTACAACGTTGAAACTCGTTCTATCCACCCTCGATCGCATAATGACCCGGGAGGCTGTATTTTTCCCCGTGCGAGAATGAAATCATTCTCGGTACCGAATACCGCCCCGGTGAAATTTCTCCAACGATGGTAATGACAGACCGCCGAGCTGTTCTAAATAATCGTATCGCGTACCGAGTGGCATTAACCGTAGCTGTAATCACGCACGGGGATAACGATAACCGCGAGCGGCCGAGAGCGAGAGCTATACGAGAGAATTACGTTTCCAGAAAATTGCGGACACTTACTCGCGACGCGTAAGTAAGCCTGATAGCCTCTTTTCCCCCTCGTCTTCCTTACTGGTTGCAAGATCAGGTCGCGTCTTTTGGCGTACAGCAGCGGAAAGCAGCTTCTCGCAAGAGGTCTTGGCTTTCTTCGTTCGATCGGCGTCGATCTTTCAGATCTATTTTGATCGACTCGGCATTCCTCGCCGATTTCAGCCGGCTATGGAGCTCCGCGCTTGCCAGAAATATCAATTCGCGCGTGAGTGGCAACAGTTTGCTTGATTTGGCACCGGGACGCGGCTTACCGCTCCGAAATAAATCTTCCGCGCTGGCCGCACGTGGACCTCCCTGAAAACCGATTGTCCCGTCCCTTTTCTCTCGCGAGAGGGATCAATCAGCGCTCCTACGTTTTGTTATCATTGTCGGTGACGCCAGATTTGTCTAATGTTTAATGTTGTCAGAGAGAGAGAGAGAGAGAGATTTTTGTATTACGTCGAGATGCGGAGACTCCTGGCTAATCGATCATCTATTATGGTATTGATCTTGTGTATTTGCGTATTTATTGTCATCGTTCTCGATTTTAGAAACTGGTACACTCCGTAGCAAGATCTATACAAGATCTTCGAAAACATAAACTAACTTCGTTTCTCCTCGAGTCGTCAGAAAAGTTAGAATGTAAGTTAGTAACCTTTTTGTCATGTTTCGCAGAAATTTTTGTGCGCAAAGATTTCGCAAAGTATATAAGTGAAAGCTTGTGTTCTTTCCTGTATCATTTGCTCGTTCGTTGATAGTGTATTAATTTTATTCTGCGCAGTTAAACATCTTAAAGTGCATTAAATCAACCGATGATAATGAAGATTCTGACGTGACGGTAAATTCGTAATTTTTGCAATCACTATATACGAGTTTGCGGAAACTGAAGGTCACGTTGGCGTTACTACAATTGAAAGTCAAATTGATTTTCTCTCGGCAAATGGTGTTCTTTCGCTCATTTGTTTCCGCGTGAAAACGCGCGATTAGAATATTGAAATTAAAGCGTGGAAAACTTGTATATTAATTTTTTTTTTTTTTGTACGAATACAACGGTGGTATGACAAATAATAATCTATTTATATCGACACAAGCGTTTCGCCTGGCTTAAAAGTGCAAAGTCTCCTGAACATTAAATTGCGTGAAAAGAGTCGCAAAACATGTTCTCGCAGTAAAAGCCATGAATTTTATGATCACACGAGATTGTACTCCGTCTCTTTGTGCTCTAAAAGGCGCTCTATTATTTTCAGATGAATCAGATGATTCAAACTTTAATACTTCTTTGGAATTTTAGATTAAATTCATTGCGAATAACGTTTACACGTAACGATTTCGAAGACTGTGGAATAGGAATGAAATAATTCAAGGAAGGGTTCGATTTGGATTAAGAGCAAACAGAATAGGAAAATCAACAGCGCAATTGCTAAAATTGAAATAAAAAATAGGAAACATGAAGCGAACGACCGAAAGGGCACGATTGATATGAACAAGAAGGAATTGAGCGTGAACAGTTATAGAAACTTGGGTTTTAAAGAATAGAAGCTAGATAAAACATACTCTACAAAATATATTTTCACATTTCATCGTGAAAATTCGCGCCCTAGTTATTCCATACGTAGAAATTTTAATTGCAACTTTGAACCCGCTTATTCTCTATTTATCTTAAGATTCTGTAATCCCTGTTTATCCTTACGCAAGTTCCAAATTAGATAATAATTCTTAGAACAATCTCAGCTTTCTATAGCTGTTTAATTAAATTTCGATATTTCGCGCTCGCGCGGGCAACAACAGCGAAGGGGTTGATACTTGCGTACAGGGATGCACATCTCGATTTACACGTCCGGAATCTGAAGCCGAAAACTCGAGCAATTTCTCGAAATGTTCTTTAAACTAAAAGTTAAACAACCGTGTGTCCATTTGTATTCTGAAAATTGCATTTTTCATACGTATGATTATCGGTACAGAGTCGCGATGATTATTAGTTACGTCAAACTTGAAACAGAGGGTTAAGTATGGTTCAAAGACGCGTTAGCTGGAAGATTAGAATGAGAAGAAGGAAAGCACGAGAGAGACAGAGAGAGAGAGAGAGAGAGAGAGAGAACGAAGAGAAGACAGAGGCGGCCTATACTCGTCGCTGAATAACGCATGACTGTCTGGCTTGAAATTATAGCATTTCGTCCCCTCTCGCTCGCAGGAACTACCCCTTGGCTCTGGACGCGCTTGTTCGCTGCGCTTTCATTCAATTATGCATCCAGCTTCACCCACACCGCATCCACTCACTCACTCAGTTTCTCTCTCTCTCTCTCTCCTCCCCTTCGCTCTTATTATTATTTTTCTGCACGTGACCTCGCTCCAGCCTCCTTCTTTTCTTTCTTAAGTCTCAACGTCGCGCCGCGTCGTCGCAGACTCCGGAAACTCGATCGTCCGTCTCGATATTCCTGTTCCTTTCTTCTCTCTCTCTCTCTCTCTCTCTCGCGAAGCTCGCGTTATTTCGGAGAAAACGCGGACAAATCGTCGGGGAATGATCGTTGACCTCTCCTTTGCATTCGCTGGAGCTTTGTGACAAACGAGAAATAGCCACGATCGCGAACAACGTGCTCCTCAGTTACGAACGATCCTCCTTTCCTTTTCTGGGCGAAATTATGCAAACAATGGAGTGTTTAGCGAAACTGAAAATCGAAATTCGTACGTTCCTCTCGTACCTCGTGAATATTAGGATATTAAAATTGAAAATATACACGAATATTGAGAATTTTGAGAAACCTGTTCGAATGAGAAGTTTAAAATAATTTTGTCAAGTGTAAACTCGTAAAACTGTTACTCCCACTTCTAAACCAAGCTTCAAATCTTTTTTCTTTTCTTCTTTTTCTTGATACGTTTCAAACACGTGACGATATGGATTGCAGAATTATCACTGTTAACTCAATTTCGATCAAAATGCGCTACAGACGAATTCGATTATACATTGGCCTCATGCGTGGCAATTAATTTATTTGATTAAAGAAATGATTAAGTTATTTAAAACGTACATTGATCAACCCCATGAATTGACAAACGGAAACAAGTTGGAAACTGAAGACTCCAACGTAATTTTGTTATTCGTGATGTTCCTTTTATTTTAAGTTGCTGAGTGTAATTAACGTTAATTGAGATTACGAACATACTATATATACTAAATATAATATATATAAATATACGTATTTTTATATATATACTAAATATAAATTTATTATAATATATTTATTATACAATACTAAATGTATATAAATATCACAGAATCTCTGGATATATCCTCAAATTTATTGCACAAGGTTTAAACACTTTCGCGAGGCATAGCAATCTCGCACGTGCCTCGGAAGAATCTAGTGGTAAACCCGGTTTTCTTAATCGAGCTTGTTCGTGTTTTCCACGTATTTACGCGTGTTTATTAGCGTGACCGTAATAATTCGTACGGCGAACGAGCGAGAGCGAGCGAGAGAAAACGAGAGCACGCGTTCCATGGCCGATCGGGTTTTCACGAGGTGACGAGCTACGTTTACGACGTAAAAATTTCAAACCGTTCCGTATCGGCGCCTATAAATATTCATGCCGCGACGAAACGCCAATATATATGTAGAGCAACACGAATATACTTGAAACGACATAGTCGTAGCCCGGGAGCAGGGCCGCGAGAAAAGTCAAGTCCGTGTTGCTCGCGAGCTTTTTTCCGCGCCCGCTCCGGCGTTTGCTCGCTGCGGAAATCATTGTCAGCCATTTGTACCGTGCGATCACAGATTAGGCTGGAAATCAGACATCGTGCCCGCGATTCTGTTCGCTGATGGCCAGCAACGATGCCATCGAACATAATCGGCCGATTTGACCACCAAGTTGGCGTTCTGGAAACACAAAGTTGGCATCGGCGATGATTTGCCCGCCTGCGACACGATTATCACGTAGGTTTTTGTTTCTGTTACAGGAGAGCGACAATCTCTGGTGGGACGCGTTCGCGACCGAATTCTTCGAGGACGATGCAACCTTAACCCTCACGTTCTGCTTGGAGGATGGTCCCAAGAGATACAGTAAGTATCTGTCACTTTCTCGTTTTTAAAAGATATACGTAGCTTTTGTTTTTTCTTTTTTTTTTTTTTTAATTCATTGTCTTCCACTGTCAAGCTATTCCATTTAACTAAAATACGTTGTTTATAATTTATGGAATGACTCCCGTGTAAAACGACGGATCAATTAGAAATGTACTGTATTTGTAATTAAGCATCAGTAAAATTCGCTTTAAATCTTCGTCCCCGCTGAAACAATAATTACGTCTCACGAAAAAACTACCATTCGTTGCTGAATGTTCCCTTGAGATATTTTCACGTTTCACTAAAGATTTTAATGAAAATTAAAAAAAGAGAAAAAAGAAACAAAATTTATCATATGCAGAACATGTGAAAAATTTATCGCTTGCCTCGAAACCTACGCAAAATATTGAAAATCGAGATGTCCATTTCATCCTGTTGCTTCAGCGTGGACGATACGTTTCTACAAGTAGATTTTTGTTAAATACGCAGCAAGAAGAGACAGAGAAATCTCTTCACTGTCGCTTCTCTCAGTTAGGATGGAGTTCACAAGTATCGTCAAGTCGAAAAATCTCTGATGCACACGCGGCGAGACGTTTTGAGGAGATTCCACGTTAACGTGTGACACGCACACGGTTGCCGTGACGTTGTTTAGAAACGCGGAGAACGCATTTCGCGATGGCCAAACGAGACGATACGAGCCCCTCCGGTTGGCCGGTTTCTCGTTCTTCTTCTTCATGGTCCATTGTCCTCGTCTCTGGTCCACGTATATACATACATACATACACACGTGTTACAAACCGGCACGCACGCAACGTTCTAAATAATTACGTGCCACCACAGCGAGCAATTTTGCAGCCGGTGGATTTTAATGTCTTGCGCCGTGTTCGTTTGCTGAATGCACGGTAACAACGTGATTACACGTCGCATCGCGTCGTCATCGAGCGTAAACGACGAGGCTCCGGGACGAGCATTACCCGTTGCAATAAGATGCAGCCAGAAAGCTCTCTTTTTCTATCTTTCACTCGTGGACTCCATTCTAGAATTTTTCAATCCTCTCTATCTCATACGCTCCATCCTCGATCGAGGATTGTTCGATACTCCCGTTCGATGCTCGTTGTCACGCTATTTATTAAATTTTAATTGTACGTAAGTACGTGTGCGCAGAATTTTGAAAAATTCCAATCTCTCTGTTGTAGACTCTATCTCCAATTTAAAATTTTTCTATTTATCTGTCTATCTATCTGTCCATTTCTTTATTTATCTATCTGTCTGTCCATTTCTTTATTTATCTGTCCCTTCTTTCGTCGTTTTTTAATCGTACGCAAGTACAAGTGTGCACAATTTTGGAAAATATAGCCAGTTTCTCTTTCGCAGATTCCATCTCCAATTTAAAATTTTTTAATTTCTTCGACCCTTTCTTTTCCCATCTATCTATCTATTTATCTATCTATCTATCTATCTATCTATTTCTTTATTTATCTGTTTCTCTGTCTCTGTTTCATCCTGTGTTCGATGTTTTGCCTTCGAACGTTCCCGGAAGGCAAAACAGGAACACGGCGAAGGAATTACACGAATACCGGATTTTCTTCATTTCCCCCGACGAATATGTCTGCGGACTGCGTTCGATCGCGGTTGGTACTGATCATCCATTCGTTTATGCTTGCAGCGATAGGCAGGACGTTAATACCTAGGTACTTCCGTTCGATATTCGAGGGCGGAGTGACGGAACTTTACTACAATTTGAAACACCCGAAGGAATCATTTCACAATACCAGCATAACCCTCGACTGTGATAACTGCGTTATGGTCACGCATCACGGAAAACCGATGTTCACGAAGGTAAGAATCTTGTCCTTTAATAATCAATCTGTTATCGCGGGTTTCGTTCAAGTCCGATGGTTTTCTAAATTCAATGAACAAAATGTGAAGTGAAAAGTACGCTGTAGACCCTGGGATCTTTCGTCCTTTCGCAACAATGGGATTTATTAAAATTAAACAGCTGGGATTCGAAACAATTGTGTTACAAATTATTGTTACTCTTTCGTTTTTGTGTGACACACGGTATGTAAGATTAGTTAACAGTGTGTAACAAATTAGTTACAGTATGTAAAACCATTTCCGGATGTGAGAATTAATTCAGAAATCGGTGGTAAGATCGAAAAAAAAAAAAAAAGAAAAGAAATCGGCGAAAGCAATCGGTTATCGCGTTCCTCTCCCGCGACCCCGTATTTTTTTTTTTTTTTTTCTTTTGCATATTACGTGCATATTTGCAGCATTGAATTTCCCATGGAGGCATAAATATCCGCAGTCTGATTATCATTGTTGCGCTATCGATTCACGGTTTAACAATGTAAACGAAAGGAATCATGGTTCGTGTAACACCGAACGGCTCGTTTCACGTGCACGCTTCTTCGATCGTCTTCTTTCGCTTCTTCTTCTGTTCCCCACCTTTTCGAGTCTTTCTTTCTCTTTCCTTTTTCGCAGTTACTATCTTCGCGTATAATGATATCGAGCATAAGATTTAAAAAGGTGAATTTTTCACAACAGAATTCTCCTTCTAGCCAATATTTTACAGAGGAATCGAGTAACCGAAGTTCCCTCCTCACTGTAGATTTATCACTGTTGAGACATTTATGCAACATTCACACATCCTACTCCGTAGGTTTTGATAATGGAATTATCTTATCTATTCTGCTGATCGAGAATAGAGTCTGAAAATGGCTCGTTTCGTAACGATTCGTCGCGTTAAAACGCTTAAACGATTTGTACTTTCTGCTAAACAGAAACTTCTTCGTGCACATTTCTAAATTTGTTATAAAATTCTTCGCTTTTCACCTCGATAATGAAGTATCGGAACAATTGTTGACAACTAGTCAAGCATGTAGATCAAATTCTCCGTGTCGCTATTGTAGGATCTACGAGAAAGGAGGGACAACGCTAAATTTTGACACTGTCTCTCAGAAAAATTCGACTATAAAAATTAGAAAGTTTTAATTATTCTTCGTTCGTCAATTTGTCAATTTATTGACCGAAATTCGATTTTTATTGCCAACAAAAGTCACGCTTTTCTTTTTCTTTGTTTTTTTTTTTTTTTTTTT